ATTTATTTGTGTGATTGAACTCTGAATAATTATTCTAAAGTGATTTTAAGTATTCTATTAATTTCACAACAAGTGGTGCCCATAGTGGGAAAGGGATTTTGTTTACAAGAGAGCATCATGAATTCTAAATGACAGATCAAGAGGTTTTCTCAGAGAGAACAATTTCAGGTTGACATAATTTCACAAGATTATCAATGATCTTGAGAATATTGAAGTGAAAATTAAATATGAGGATAAAACTTTACTCTTGTTGAACTCATTACTCAGATCCTTTGAGAATTTTAAGGATTTATTTCTTTATGGTAGTGAAGGTAATAATAATTTGGATGAAGTCCAAAAAAATTGTGAAGGCTTATGTGTATCAAGAGGAGGAAGTGAGCGTAGATGGATATCCAAATCAAAAAGACTTGACAAGTCAAGGGTAAAATGCACTTGTCAACAAACTAATCACTTCATGGGAGATTGTCCTAGTAAAAGGGGTAATTATGATTCTACTCAGATTGTAGCTGCCTTAGATGAGAATAATTATGAGAGTGTTGGTACATTAGTGGCATTAAGTTTTGAGAGTAAAGAGGGTTGGTTCATGGACTCTGGACTCGAGTTACTCTTATCACATGTGTCCAAGAAAATAATACTCTGAGATTTTGAAGTTGAAGCTAGGTGGAATAGTTATCCTCGGTGACAATAAAGTTTGTAAGGTCCATGCATTTATATGGCCATACTTAAAATGTTTGATTATCGTGAGTTTCTTATTTATAATGTGATATGTGTTTCAAAGTTTGGGTGAAATTTGTTATCTATAAACATGTTTGATGATGTAGACTATTGTCTAGAGTTGAACACGAGGCATTCAAGATTTCAAATGTTGAAATGATCATAACTATAATGGTCTAAAATATGTTGTTTGTATATTTTAGAAGGTTCTAACATTTTTTGTTTATTCATCATCAACTAGTGAAGGCTTTCATGACAAGAACAAGTTATGGGAATTGAAGTCAAGACATGGTGGACGCCTAAAGGTTTTTCAAAGCACTTTAATGAGTTTTGTAAAAAATAAGGGATAAAAATGTGTGTGACCACTAAGTTATCATTGAAATTCAAGGGTAATTGTGGTGCCAAAGAAGCTTATCTGGGGTTGCCAGGTGTTGATTTACAAGAATAAACTTACAAACACTTATGGAGGTTTAGAGTGGAAAAGTGTATCCTACTATATTTTGAAGGTCGTCAAAGCTTTGCCTATTGTACAAATCAAGCTAATTCAGCTTGATGATAAAATTACGATTTTGTCTTTAATGGCTATCCAAGAGGTAGGAAGGGTTATGAGTTATTTGGAGTGGAACCTAGAGGACCTAACTTCATTAATTACATATGTATTACTTTCAGTGAATCCTATTAAGGGAATAAGAATTAAGAGTTAAGGATGAAGCTTTTAGAAACTATATAAGAGAAGACTTAAAATTGAGGTAGAGATTCCTACTACGGATGCTATAGTAGTTAAGGAATGATTAAAGAAGCATGTTATTATCATTTGACTCGTGAAAAGGTAAGGGTAGAGATTGTATCATCTCAAAGGGATAATTATGTTAACCTTGGGTGTTATGTTTCAGATGTGGTTGAAGGGTTACAAACTCTAAAATAGGGACCTTTAGGAAGGTATTTGAAAGCATGTAGAGTCAATGATGATTGCAGAACCATACTTATGGACTTGTTAAACCACTAAAGTATGAAAAGGTGGTTGGAAGTAAGTGGATGTAAGTGACAAGATAAAGGTTCAAACGTGGCTTGAACTGAATTAATGTTGTTGAATAATGATTCAACATGGTAGAGAGAAGCAAAATGGTTGAAGGTTAAATTGACATCACCATGGTTTCAAGTCAATCTAGAGATTGTTCAAGCATGCTTTAAAACCTTAAGTGATGAAGTGAAAGAAAATATATTTCAAGATTGTAGAAACCAAAAAGCCATAAAAGCAGCCAAAAGGTCGTTAAATAGCATCGAAACTGCATGTAGGTGTCCTAATAGAGGTGTCTGGTGGCACCGAGAAACGACCGTTAGAAATTAGAAATCAATGGAAGTGAGGAGGTAGTTTTGGTCGGTCCATAGCAATTTAGGTTTTTAGTCATCATGTTTGATTTTCTCGATTCGTTCTCTTTTTGGGATTCTCCGTTTCAGTTCATGGATTTGTTAGTTAATGAGTTTAGTTTTAGGCTTGTTATGAATCTGTTATGTTTCAATAGTTATAAATATGTATATATTTCATACTTGTTATCACAACCTTTAATACTTTAGCGTTGAAGACAAAGAGAAATATTTGAGAACCGTAGTTGTAATTTTAGAAAGACAAGGGTAAATTGATAACAGTTTGTTCTTGGAATTTGGGAAACCATTTATGATATATAAGGGGGATTGGGAATAACTTCTAAGCACCTTGAGCTTGAGTGATTCATATATAGAGAATTTGAGGTATTGATAAACACTTGGGTAGAAAACAAGGGTCATTCTTGAGAATTTGGATGACTATTTTCTTGTAACTCATCTGTAATCTTTTGAAGCAACTCTTGGAAGTATACCGAACCAAAGAGCTGCTCTCTCCTCTAGAGTAAATCATTTAATCAAATTGGGTAAACAAGATATTATGGTTATTGGCTTTACATTTGTCTTATTATGCAAAGTTAAATTGATATTGTATTGCACAAAGCCACATAAAGTTATTTTTTTTATAGAAGACCGTTTATTTTGCTTGTCATTATTCTTTATCCTCAGACTTAAATTTCTTGGAGTGATTGAACTTTGAACAATTCTTCTGAAATACTTTTAATTATTCTATCAATTTTACAACATATTATGGATCTAAGTGTCGATCTTTCCTCTTGCGAGTCGATTAAAAAATTGACAAGCATCTGTTTCTTCACATATACTTCCATGTGCTGAAAAATATCAAAAAACACATCCTTAACAAAGTCATGTCGATATTTGAAGAATGAAAACTCCCTACAATAAACAATGTATTCTCCAAAGACATCTAATCATTCCTTACAACAGACAGTCCAAACCTCATCAATAGGAAATAATAGAATCATAAGGCAATATCTGAGGTCAAAGTTTGGAATCGTATCACTAAGACCATCCAAAACAATGTCAAAATCAAAGTCTAGATTGATTTTTTAATATATGATCATGTAACACCTAAAATTAGGTTCCAGAAGCTACAAAAGCATACAATGCAACCTCTAGTGTCGAGTACAAACTCAATCCCCCCCGACTTTAATAGGTAAATAATCCATCATCCATTGGAGGTCCTCAAATAAAGGATACCCACTAACCATAATGTCTTCAATCGCCCTTCGTAAATCTTCATCAAACCAAATATTTGTCTCCTCAATGTGAGTTAGTTGACACATTGTTAGGCCAAAAAAATGTTTCTGCGATACTTGTGGAAGACCAAGGTAGAAAAAGTTCACTTTGTGGATCCCTTAATTTCAAAGAAGATGTAATAATTTAATAACCCTAGCATTTATATTCTTGGACAACCCCTCAATTAAAACTTTATCTAAATTAATAACCCCTCCAAGAAATTTTATATTCAACAACCACCTCCCAATAGCTGAAGGGAACAACTCCCATGAAATTTACTACTGACACACAAAGGCAAAAAGATATCAAACTTACGACTATTAAATTTAAGACCCAATCATGAACCTACCTCTAGAATGTTGTCAAAAACTTTAGCCACCACATTTAAATTCCTGATAGTCCCATTATCAAAATATCTGATATAAAGAAGAAGCTTGCAATTGTCTATAATGTTACTAATAAAAAAGTATATGATAAATCTTATTTTGCGAGAGAATGAAAATGATCGGTGATCAAAGGATGTCGATTGAAAATGTAATTTGAGCTGAAGTCACATATTTAATTTCTTCTAAAGCTTTTCTCTCACATTCTTCTTCTTCAAATAGACATGAACATGAATATGCCAATAGAAGATGACAAATTTAAAATAAAAAACAAAAAAGTTTTAATTTAATCAGATAAACTAGCATGTCCAATATATTAATAATTTTTAAAGTTTATATTGTTAAAATATTATTATTTTTTAAATATTAGTTAAAACTATTTTTTTAAAAATTCTGTTAAAAAATATTAATTAATAAATAATATTGATATACAATAAATAAAAATAAGTTAATATATTTGAGACTGAAATTAATATATTTTGAAAAAGACTTGTTAAAAAAGAAATAATAATTGTACGATAGTAAGAATGGTAAATGAAATTTAAATTTAAAATGTATTTAATAAATGACGCACTTTACTCTTATTATAGTAATTTGTTGATTTTTAATGGTGAACTACAAATATTTATTTAATAGGTCTTAGATGAAATTACCCACACTCTAGACTAGGATAACATACATACTCTGTGAAAGCTGCAAGAGATGAGTGTGCTATTAGGTCATAGTTATTGGATCTTTTAACATATCTATTTTGTCTAATTCATTTTAATTTTTATAAAATTAAGTATTATTTTTTAAATTTAACTTTGTAACTAATATTATTTTATTACTCTCAATTTAATATCTTTTATTTTATATTTATGATAAATATGAATTTATTAATATATAATAAAAAATATTTTAGTAAAATACACATATCTTTTTATATAGATAAATATTAAAAAGCTTTAAAAAAACTGTGTTAGAAAAAGCAAATTGTAAGCTTTTAAAGAAGTCAAATAAAAATTTCCAAAACAAAACTTGTACATTCAATTTTCATGTTGATCACAAGTTAACATTTTTGATTTTCAATAGTAGTGAGTGAAGATTAAGAAGCACATGTGGTATGAGTATAAATTTGTGATTAATAAGATGAAAAAAATGAGTGGCAATAAAAAAGTGTAAAAAGTGAATTGCAGAAGAGAAGAGCAAAGATGAGGTGGAATCCTACGTGTGAAATTAGATTATAAAAGCACCCACCGCATTTCCAGACGTAACCGTCAACTCATTTCATCACCCAACCCAACAACTTCACACTCACTAACAAACACAAGAAAATTACAATTTCAAAATAAAACCCTCTCACACTCACACACAAACAGACAAACGCATCAACAATTTTTCAACTCTCACTCTTTCTTTCCTTCTTTCTCACATCACATCACATCTCGAAATATATTTCAAGTCAAAAAACCCTCTCTCTCTCTCTCTCTCTCTCTCTCTCTCTCTCTCTCTCTCTCCTTTGCTTTTTCTTCTCCCTCTCCTCACTTTCCTCGTTTTCTTTTCTTTTCTTTTTCTTTTCATTTCACTATCTTTCTTTTTACTCCTTTTTAAATTTGTTTTCTTCTTCTTACTATGCTCTTCTTCCCTCCCTCTCCCTCCCCTTTCTAACTTTGGGGTTGGGTTCTTCTCAACCATACTTCAAATGTGATGGGAAGTGGTGTTTCGAGGCTGTGTTCTTGCTTAGAACCGGTTCACCGGACTAACCGAACCCAACAAAAAGACCATATATTCACTGCAAATGAACCGTTGGATGAAACCCTAGGTCATTCTTTCTGTTACGTTAGATCTTCACCTCGCTTTCTCTCTCCTTCTCACTCCGATCGCTTTCTCTCACCTTCTACTTCTCTTCGCTTCTCACCTACCCATGAATCTCTTCCTAAAACCCGACCCGATTTTCCCGAAACCTCTTTTAAAGCCATTTCTGGTGCTTCGGTTAGTGCGAATAGTTCGGTTCCCAAAACGGTTATTCAGTTAGAAGAAGAATCCTCCGCCGCTGTTGATTCTGCTTCCGGTGCTGCTCTTGGGAAGGGGATAATTCTCAATGGCTTTGAGAGTACGTCGTCGTTTTCTGCTCTTCCGCTTCAGCCTGTTCCCAGAGGCGGTGAGCTTTTCGAGGGGAGTGGTTTTTTTCTCTCCGGTCCGATTGAGAGCGGCGCGCATTCCGGACCGATTAACGCAGGTTCTACGGTTGATTCGGGTGTTTCCGGTGGGAGGGATGTTCCTTTTTCGGCGCCGTTAGGGGGGATGTACCCGAGGAAGAGAGGTGTGTCGGGGTTTAGGAAGGCGTTTCAGCGAAAGGTGTCCGAGAAGAAGCGGCCGTGGGTGGTGCCGGTGTTGAACTTCGTTGGGAGGAAGGAGGTTCCGGGGAGTGAAGGGAAGGGGAAGCCTGTTGAGGCCAAGAGTGAGAGCAATGTGCAGTGGGCGCTAGGGAAAGCTGGAGAGGATCGGGTTCATGTGGTGGTTTCGGAGGAGCAAGGGTGGTTGTTCGTTGGGATTTATGATGGTTTCAATGGTCCTGATGCCCCGGAGTTTTTGATGGGTCATATGTACCGTGCTGTTCACAATGAGCTTCAGGGTTTGTTTTGGGAAGTTGAAGAACCGGTAGAGAGTCATAATCCTGTTGAGGAGAAAAACAAAAACAAACCGGAGGGAGAAAATTCAAGTGCTGGTTTGGTACAAAGGACTGAAACTGCTCCCGTGGCGGGAACGGAGAGTAAACGCCGTAGGCTGTGGGAATTTCTGGCTGAAGACCCTGAAGATGGACTTGATCTTTCTGGGTCTGATAGGTTTGCATTTTCTGTTGACGATGCACTTAGTGTTAGTAATAATACCAATGCAGGCTCCGCCGGAAGTAGACGGTGGCTGTTGCTGTCCAAACTGAAGAATGGTTTGTCTTCTAAGCAAAAAGAGGGTAATGGTAGGAAGTTGTTGCCGTGGAATTTAGGGAATGGGGAGGAGAAAGAAGATAAGACTGATGTGGAAAACAAGCCTTCTGCGTCTGGCATTGGTGGTGGGAGAAGACGGAAGCTGGGTCCAGTTGATCATGATTTGGTTTTGAATGCAATGTCTCGGGCGCTTCAAGTGACCGAGCTTGCATACTTGGATATGACCGATAAGCTTCTGGATACAAATCCTGAACTTGCTTTGATGGGTTCTTGTCTGTTGGTTGCTTTGATGAGGGATGAGGATGTGTATGTGATGAATGTTGGGGATAGTCGTGCAATTGTTGCACATTATGAGCCCAAGGAGGTTCAGGATACTTCCAATGTGGAATCTGCAAGCAAGGGAGGAGACGCTGGTGTTGGTTCGAGCACCGAGAGCATAGTTGAGGAGTCCTTAGCTTTAGATGGTACTCAAACCGAAGATGCAATCAAGTTGGGGAATCCGGGTCCTGCTCAAGAAATGAGGTTGGCGGCATTGCAGCTGTCTACTGACCACAGCACCAGCATTAAAGAAGTAAGCTCAATTTTTAATCAGTAGACCTTTTGGTGAAGTAAAATACTTTCTTTCTCCACTCTTGTCAAGTTTGGTTTTTATCTACATGTCTAATTTTCCTCATTATACATTTGCAGTCTGGTTTAACTTGAGTTAGTGAGTCTATGGCATTGTATGTGTGTCCGTAATTGAGTTTCTGTATGCATACCATTGCATACTTTTCGTAAGTCCATTATATTCCTAGGAGGGATGCTATTGTTTCTTTAATTTAATCTGGCAATCTGCTTTATACCAAGCTGCTAATGAAGTGTAGGATTTAGTAACATGCAGTATTGAGATTGAGTAATTTGTGGTGATATATTCAAGAGGTTAGCTAATTAGCATCATTGTTTTTATTATAAAATGAATCCCTAAAGTTATACTTTTAGCCGTAGACTGTAGTTGTGGTAATTATAGTCTTGTTTCCTTTTTCTCCAGTCATGTTGTGATCTGCTTATTTCAAGTTTCTAAAAAAATGAGCTTTTTGTTTTGCAGGAAATCATTAGAATTAAGAATGAGCATCCTGATGATCCCCATTGCATAGTCAATGATAGAGTTAAAGGTCGTCTTAAGGTCACCAGAGCATTTGGGGCTGGATCTTTGAAACTGGTATATTTGAAGAAAATAAATTATTTTATTTATACCTTTCCTATTTGTTTTAATAACTTTCACATGGTATGCTTCTGCACCATGCCTTCCCTCCTTCAGAGAGAGAACAATATGCAAAGTGCTATAGTTCATGTGTTGTAGAATTATAGTTTGTGTTTATTCTACGTTTATTGGTAATAAAAGTTTTATCATCCTACTTGGTGCCATTTTCACCTTTGATTTAAAATAAAATGTGCTCCTGCGTATAGGTTGTCAATAACAATAGATAGCACCGCCATTCGCGGTGGAGTGATGCAAAGCGGGTTGTGGCTACCTCAGAGATTGTGTCACAATATAGTGGGGCAGCCAGAGCGTGGGATGTTGCACTACAGAAACGCTGAACAAATCGCATATGGCGCACTACAATAATTGAATAGCCAAATAATGATAGTAAAATAAATGAATACTAAAATAATTACCTGTATATTTTGTATATACTCCCTCCGCTCACTATTATAAGCAAAAAAATGACTTTAAATTTTGGTCACTATTATAAGCAAAAGTCATTCTTTTAGACTAATTAATGCTTGTATTACTATTATACCCTTAATTTAAGTCAAAAACATTTAATGTTGGTAGTTGATTAATCAAATATAACTAGGGATATTATAGTAAATTTTGCTTTGATTGGACATGAAATCAAGAAAACTATTACACTTAACTAACCTTCTTAATCTGTGTGAAAAAAGTTAATTTGCCTTATAATTGTGACCGGAGGGAGTATTTATTATTTGAATAGAGGCCATCCTGCTATGTGCTATACCTATATCCTTGTTTTGGGGTAGGCCGCTATCCAAGATTAATAACTGCGTGTAGCTCTGTATATTCAAATAGGCGGGTATTTAAGCAGATGTATTAAGCGGAAAACAGAGATACACTGATGTTATTTAAAATTTTATGTTCATAGACCTGTAAATCATATTGTTCATGATCATTGTGTGTTTTCTAGTATCGAGTTTGGTATGTAGGACATTCACGCTAACAAGTATAGTTATTGTGACAAATAATTTAATTTTGTCAGTGTAAAGCTCTTTTGCATTCTCAGTCAACTGAAAATAAAATTGAAAAAACCTGTCACTTTACTTCACAATGATTCCAAATTATTCTCTAGATGTTGCAATAATACATGATAAACTAAATTGATGTAAGCTACATGCATTCCTCTCGTTTAGACTTCAGTTTTGCAATCAACTTTTGATTATAAATTGAGACGAGTGTTAATTTAACACAAATATACACTTACATGATGGTATTTTTTGCTTCCTGTAGCCAAAGTTGAATGCCGCAGTACTGGAAATGTTTCGTAATGATTACATTGGCACTGCTCCATATATATCATGCATCCCTTCACTACGGCACCATAGATTATGTCCAAGGGATCAGTTCCTGATCCTCTCATCTGATGGCTTGTATCAATATCTAAACAATGACGAAGTTGTTTCTCAAGTTGAGAGCTTCATGGAAAAGTTTCCAGAAGGAGACCCTGCCCAGCATTTAATAGAAGAGCTGCTCCTCCGTGCAGCCAAGAAGGCTGGTAAGTGAATCTTCTCACCTTTTGTATCTTTTGTGTTTTGCAGTCTTATTAAGTACCCCCTCCGTCTCAAAATAGTAGTCGTTTAAGGTTGTGACACGGAGATTAAGAAAAGTAATGATTGAGTCAATAAAAGTATCATCTTTACAAAATTACCCTTTATTATTATTGGTTGTAGTACAGTGTCATATTTGGAAAGAGTGTATGTATATAAAGGGTAAAATTGGTAAAAGTTAATTATAATTGCATTGAAAAAGTAAAGAGACTATTATTTTGAGACAACTTTTTGAGGCTAGAAAGACAATTATTTTGAGACAGAGGGAGTATGAGCAATTTGATGAATGACATAAGTGCAGGGAATATTAATTAGGCTTTATTTATAGAAAAACTAAAATAATTTGCCTTGTTCTGTATGGTTGTGAAAAAATTTGGATTATTAAAACTGGTTGGTTGTTTATCCAAGAACTCAACTGATGGTATACAGAGTACACATTTTGAAAATCTAAAGGAATTGGGAACTTTTTCACTCTACCTTTGATGCTACTGGGGGCTTTGTGATTTTTTTTTCATACTTCCTTTTCTCCTCCTAGCTTCCTTCCTATACGATCTTTTGCCTCTCTGGGTTGGGCTTTTCTATATTAGAACGTGTCTCGAAGCCTCAGAGAAATGTGTTGTTTTTAACAGTAGATATATAAGCAAGTTCATATTTTCCATTCCCTTGAGCTTCCTGTTCTGCGCTTTATCATTTGTAGCATCTGATTACTAGCTACTTTTTGAGTTCCCTTCTATAAATGACAGTTCTTATACATTAGTATATTTTACTCTTTCATAAAATTCCTATCGCTGAATGGATTTGTAGTTTATTTCTTCTATCTGGGTTTTATAAAGTCGATTTCGGAAAAGTCTATTTAAGTGTCAAGACCCAACCTTGTCATTTTCTTTTTTGTATGTGTTTTCTTTGATTCTAATGCTTGGCTAAGGGGACAGTTTTAAATTCAGGATGGTTTCTGTGTTTGTCTGCATGAGTTCGTTTGGATCTGGTAATTGGAGAAAACATATTTTATAGGGATTTTCATTTTTCATTCTTCCTAAGGATGGGGATAGGGCAGAAATTTATCATTCAAGCTATATGTAATTTCATTTTAAAAAATGTTGATTTCATTTCATCTATAGATAAATGTTCATTTCTGTGGTTATACAACCCAATTAGACAATTCAGAATTCTGATTGAGGAATCAACCGTTGCAGGAATGGATTTTCATGAGTTGCTGGATATTCCGCAAGGAGATCGGAGGAAGTATCACGATGACGTTACTGTTATGGTGATATCACTTGAAGGAAGAATATGGAAATCGTCAGGGAAATATCTGTGAGGCCTTCAACTTTCTGTTGGCTCTATACATGTGATAACATTTTTTTCACCTAAGATTACCCTGAAGCTGATCCATTTTTCATGGGTTTTTGGTCTTGCAACAAAATAAAATTATCACTGAGGAATCTCAGATTATAATTGCAAGAGGCAACTGTTACAGCTCTATCCAGAATTAAAGACCCAAATGCAATTTGTTATGGAAGAATGGACATCGCAGACAGTCTTTTGGAAATTTTCTTTAGGAGTGGGAGAAAAAGGAAAGTGCAGCCTTTGAAACTGTTTCCTTTTCCATTCACCATTTCTGCTCCCCTCCCTCTTTTTTGCAGTTATAGAGATGAAAAATGATAGTAGAAATTTTGCACAGCGAAGTCCTTTCTATTTATTTTTATTTTTTCTTTCTTTCTTTGGCAGAGCCAAGTAAAATGTTGGTGTAAATTGGTGGGGATACAAGTGTACTGATTGAACTCGAGCAGTCTGATAGTCAGAAATGACAATATGTAGCTGGTGGTGGATTTTCACCATAACAACATGATTCTAAATTAGAGGGACAAAAGCCAAATCAAACTATGAATTGTCACGGGAATTGGGACCTTTTTACAGTAAGATACGTTGACTCTCACTTTATTTAAAGACATTGTGCTTCAAAGTTATTGTTGTCATAAGTTAGACCCCTAAAGAATAAAAACATTGAAATAGTAACACTAAAAACCAATATGTTTAGAATCATTACAAACAAAAAATTGAGTCACACTAAAACTATGGCCTTTTAATTGGAGTTCGTACACGTAATCTGAGTTTGCTGCATACCTTTAGAACGAGATTTATCATATTACCCCAAAATTTAACAAGCATCCCCGCAATTGCAATACTTTTATTTTAGGTTTAAATAGTTTTTTTCCTCTATAAATTAGCAAGCTTTTTATTTTAATTATTAATTTTATCGGTTGATCAGAATTTGAAAGTAGGCTGAAGGATGATGACGTTTATTTGACTGGAAATATGAGGAGAGGAGGGGGTGTACCTGTAAGGCACTCCGACAATCTAGTGAGAAAGACTGCAAAGAGATATAAGAAAGAGATTATGGTTTTTTAGTATGAATGTTGGATACTTGATCCTTAGAAGTGTGATGGTTTATACAATGTCCCCGTCGCATAGTGATTGGTCCCTATTTTTGGACCTGGATATTCGGGTCCGTAAAAATAGGTAACTGTCAGGACTTGGTCAAAACGGACAGTCGTGCTCATAAGTAGCCGTTGCACTGAACACAAAAGGGATTACGGGAAAAAGTGTTTATGAGCATTTCCTGAGTGTCTGCTCTACGTGTGTCGAGCAGACTGGGAGACAGATGCCCATAGGGGAAGGAGTGAGTCTCGGGCACCGATGGTCTTACTGCTCAAGGGGCGTGGTCGACCAGGGATGCCCGACAGGAGGTCCAGAGCTAATGGGTCAGCGTTGTTGAGCAATGTGTTACACCCCAAAATTTACCCTCTTGTTTTTAAAAATTTTAAGGGCTTATGTTATATATATATATATATATATATATATATATATATATATATATATATATATATATATATATATATATATATATATATATATATATATATATATATATATATATACATTGTGATAAGATCAAGGTACTTTAGTTCTCAAGATCTTCTACAAGCTATGGAGGATGGTTGTGTTATCAATCAGTCCAAGCAAGGTCTCATGCCCTCACTTTTTTAGTCACTCAAGCTACAAGAGTTTCTCAAACCTTAAGACATCTCAATTGTCTTATTGATCCATCAGAAGATTGAAAATTATAGAGTATTGAATTGAAATACTTTTCTCCTATTCATCTCTTAAGATTAGGGTTTTGGTCAGTTGAAGTGTTTGATGCTTGTGTGAGCTATTTCCTTGAAGTATTATCCTCTCATCACCATATGAGACAATTTTGTTTAAGAAGTTCTTCATAATGTTCCATGAAATTAAGGTTTTAAAGCTTGATCATCACCTCCTAACACAAGGGAACAAAATTAAGATTTTGGATTTAATTAGGACTTCTCTGAGTTGCTGACTCAAACTGGATTTCATGCTTCTCTACATGTTCCTAAGCATCTACGGTTGAAAGATTGATCATCAATTTTGACTGGAAGATGATCAATTGCACAGTTGAATTCAAAAGAATATGGTTTTTTAGTATGAATGTTGGATACTTTGATCCTTAGAAGTGTGATGGTTTATACAATGTCCCCGTCGCATAGTGATTGGTCCCTATTTTTGGACCTGAATATTCGGGTCCGTAAAAATAGGTAACTGTCAGGACTTGGTCAAAACGGACAGTCGTGCTCATAAGTAGCCGTTGCACTGAACACAAAAGGGATTACGGGAAAAAGTGTTTATGAGCATTTCCTGAGTGTCTGCTCTACGTGTGTCGAGCAGACTGGGAGACAGATGCCCATAGGGGAAGGAGTGAGTCTCGGGCACCGATGGTCTTACTGCTCAAGGGGCGTGGTCGACCAGGGATGCCCGACAGGAGGTCCAGAGCTAATGGGTCAGCGTTGTTGAGCAATGTGTTACACCCCAAAATTTACCCTCTTGTTTTAAAAATTTTAAGGGCTTATGTTATATATATATATATATATATATATATATATATATATATATATATATATATATATATATATATATATATATATATCTATATATATATATATATATATATATATATATATATATATATATATATATATATATATATATATATAAGATCAAGGTACTTTAGTTCTCAAGATCTTCTACAAGCTATGGAGGATGGTTGTGTTATCAATCAGTCCAAGCAAGGTCTCATGCCCTCACTTTTTGAGTCACTCAAGCTACAAGAGTTTCTCAAACCTTAAGACATCTCAATTGTCTTATTGATCCATCAGAAGATTGAAAATTATAGAGTATTGAATTGAAATACTTTTCTCCTATTCATCTCTTAAGATTAGGGTTTTGGCCAGTTGAAGTGTTTGATGCTTGTGTGAGCTATTTCCTTGAAGTATTATCCTCTCATCATCATATGAGACAATTTTGTTTAAGAAGTTCTTCATAATGTTCCATGAAATTAAGGTTTTAAAGCTTGATCATCACCTCCTAACACAAGGGATCAAAATTAAGATTTTGGATTTAATTAGGACTTCTCTGAGTTGCTGACTCAAACTGGATTTCATGCTTCTCTACATGTTCCTAAGCATCTACGGTTGAAAGATTGATCATCAATTTTGACTGGAAGATGATCAATTGCACAGTTGAATTCAAAAGAATATGGTTTTTTAGTATGAATGTTGGATACTTGATCCTTAGAAGTGTGATGGTTTATACAATGTCCCCGTCGCATAGTGATTGGTCCCTATTTTTGGACCTGAATATTCGGGTCCGTAAAAATAGGTAACTGTCAGGACTTGGTCAAAACGGACAGTCGTGCTCATAAGTAACCGTTGCACTGAACACAAAAGGGATTACGGGAAAAAGTGTTTATGAGCATTTCCTGAGTGTCTGCTCTACGTGTGTCGAGCAGACTGGGAGACAGATGCCCATAGGAGAAGGAGTGAGTCTCGGGCACCGATGGTCTTACTGCTCAAGGGGCGTGGTCGACCAGGGATGCCCGACAGGAGGTCCAGAGCTAATGGGTCAGCGTTGTGAGCAATGTGTTACACCCCAAAATTTACCCTCTTGTTTTTAAAAATTTTAAGGGCTTATGTTATATATATATATATATATATATATATATATATATATATATATATATATATATATATATATATATTATATATATATATATATATATATATATATATATATATATATATATATATATAAGATCAAGGTACTTTAGTTCTCAAGATCTTCTACAAGCTATGGAGGATGGTTGTGTTATCAATCAGTCCAAGCAAGGTCTCATGCCCTCACTTTTTTGAGTCACTCAAGCTACAAGAGTTTCTCAAACCTTAAGACATCTCAATTGTCTTATTGATCCATCAGAAGATTGAAAATTATAGAGTATTGAATTGAAATACTTTTCTCCTATTCATCTCTTAAGATTAGGGTTTTGGCCAGTTGAAGTGTTTGATGCTTGTGTGAGCTATTTCCTTGAAGTATTATCCTCTCATCATCATATGAGACAATTTTGTTTAAGAAGTTCTTCATAATGTTCCATGAAATTAAGGTTTTAAAGCTTGATCATCACCTCCTAACACAAGCGATCAAAATTAAGATTTTGGATTTAATTAGGACTTCTCTGAGTTGCTGACTCAAACTGGATTTCATGCTTCTCTACATGTTCCTAAGCATCTACGGTTGAAAGATTGATCATCAATTTTGACTGGAAGATGATCAATTGCACAGTTGAATTCAAAAGAATTGAATTGGGGAAAAGTCAACCATACAGTCAAAAAGGCCAATTCCGACTTTTAAAGGCCAACATGGTGTTCAATAAGTCAAAAACGTTCAATGGGTGATATTTGTCCAAGTGGAATCTCAAAAATTAAGAATGTTGACTTTTGTTAACTTTTTGGACACTTAGGATTTTTTTTAAGTTTTTGAGATTTTTGTGTTCATCCACCACTTTTTGAAAAGTCATAACTCCTTCATCTTTAATCAGAAATTTGCAAACTCATAGTCTTTGGAAAGAGGAAGTGTCAAACTTCATTTTTTCCCTTGAGGGTCTATCTCTAAAAAGTCTTTGGATTTCAAGATTTTTGGGCAAGAAGTGATGCACTTCATTCAGATTTAGTGTTTGAGACTTGGAGATTTTCATATGTCTTTCATTTAGTTTCAACCTCTTGACTTTCAAGCAAATTTTCTTCATGAATCAAGCTTTAACTCAATTTTCCTCCAACATCAAAGATGTTCCTTGTTTTAAGACCTTTCCAAACATATAAAGAACTCCTCAAATGGATCAAAATTGATTAAGTTATGGTTGAAGAAAGTTGTACCATTTTCTATGATTATGACTTCCAAATGCCAAGAAAT